AAAGTATGTCAACAATTTTTTTCACTAAACATTCTTACTAAAAAAAAAAATTGCCATGCTTGTGATTAAATATACCATACATTAGATAATCAAACATAGCATCTGTATTTAATATTTAATACATCTTAATACTTCTTATTTAAAACTATATTAATAAATAGAGTTTACATAATAACACTTTAATTGAGGTATTCATGAGATTACTATAAAGTTTCAGGGCTCAACATTTATGTTTCTCTAAAACTTATAAAGTTGGTAATTAGTACACTTACATTTAACATGTTTTTAGAAACAAAAAAGGGAGATGGATTTCTTTAGTTATGCCCAATTTGAGCATGGACAGTTGCATATGTTCAACCCTGACTTGCCTTTGGATGAGCAGATAGAGCTTCTGCCATATGACAATCATTGGGAATTTCCAAAAGAAAACTTGAAACTAGGCAAGTAACATTATTTTATTATAGTGTTATACATTATTCATTATATATTGATCAATAATCAAATAAAACAATTAATATATGCTAGGCTGTAATTTAGTGATATAAGTCCTACAGTGGGTCAGTCATAGGTTTTCTGGCTTACAGCACTAAAGTCTGATTCCCCATGGTGAACAGAGCACAGGTAGCTTTATAATGTAAAAACAACAGTGATACAATGCTAACATTATGTACTTTTTTTTTATTTCTTATAGCCATTAGAACACCTTTTTATGTATAATTAAATGCTTTTGTAGATTACATGAAATTTCACTCTGAGATGTCCAGCTAATATGAAAGCTTTTTCTATAAAGTTGCTACTGAACATGATATTCACCAATTTTCTCATGATTATTGCTAATACTTAAAACAAACATACCATTTTCACATAAGAGCTCTTGACAAGATCTTTAATTATTATGTTCAGTTCTGTTGGAATAAGGTTACAATAATACAGATTAACTGCACATAACTTTTGGAATGAAGTTTGTCAGTAAGAAGCTTTGAGGTTTTAAGATTTCAATAATACATTCCTTTTTTTTTCTTTTCATTTATAAATTTAACATTTTACATCTGTAGCTTTGATTATATTACTGCATTTGAAGTCAAGAAGGTTCAAAAAGTTTCACCCGATAGAGATTCTAAGTAACGAAACTAAATAGTGGCTAGCATAATAAGTGCAATACATTATACTCTCATAAAAACCTGAAACATTTTACTATAATCTAAAAAAGTACAAAGGTTGAGACCATAAAAATGCCATTTTAACAACTTTACTGTGACCATATCTAATCACTGTTAGATTTACATTTAGTATATCTGATAGAGATGATTTTGCTACTGCTAAACCTCTTCTACCAGCAACTTTAATCTTTTTCTTACATCAAATATTGACATAAAACTTAGTTCAAAGAGTACAGTTATTATGAATAGGTCTGTTTGAACATACTTGTTCCTATGTCTGATATAAATGTATGATATTTGTATGAAGTTTTTGTAATTGAAAATTTTTAGATGTATATGACTGTTTAGGTATAGCATGAGTGTTAGATTTAGTTATTTTTAGAAGTGATAGTTTATCACATAACCATTTTCGATTCATAAATTGTATGGTTCAATTGTTGTGAGTTGGTGATTGTTGTATTATTGTGTCATGTTACGAGAACCTTATGTTTTTTTGTCATTTTAAACTGAGTATTATTACATCATAATATCTCACAGTGTGTGGAGCGTTCTAGGCCTGTGTCGGGTTATAAATATGCATCTAAAATGCATTTTGAGTTAGTTAGTTGATAGATAGATCTAGACTATGTGATTGTGAGTTTAGCCATAAAGAACATATAGTGGTGATTTTTAAAGTAAAATTATCACAGATTGTATTGTAATAACAGAGTATTGAAGAATAATTGTGTTTTAAAGTGACTGAACCAGTGCATGTAGAGTTTAATGTAAAGAAGACAATTAGTTAAAGTTCTGGATGAAATTGTGGTAACCAACAGTGTAACGATCATTTGTATATACATTTCACCTGTTTTAATATATTACTTTATAACAAGTGAATTATATGCTGTTTCTTGAAATCTATCGCCAACAAATCACAGACCCCTACTGTAAAGAATCTGACCCATACATAAAACCTGACAAAAATATTAGTGATAATTTTAAATTAAATGTTAATGTAGTACAAGAACCAAGTGCTAAAAATTACATATTGAGTACTAAGCTATCAAGACTCAACATACATTTCATTCTATAGGCAAAACATTAGGCCAAGGAGCCTTTGGAAGAGTGGTGAAGGCAGAAGCTTTTGGTTTAGAAGATGCTGAAACAACAACAGTTGTTGCAGTTAAGATGCTTAAAGGTACTTTGTATATTTTTTTATGGTAATCCAAGTATAAATCATTTTCAGATGTTAACTTTATTCATGCATCTTCCTTTTTTGTTATACTTGTCTGAGGCTATTATTATTTGTAAGTAATGAGTTCTTTTTTCTACAATTAACACACATGCAATCTTTTTCTGAGTTTATAGTAGCAAATGTGAGTTAATATAATTTTGTTCATGTAGCTAGACAGATTATAGAACCCAGATGATAAAAATATACTATCATTCTATGCTAACAAATGACACTATAAACCCAAAGCATGGCTCGACTTCTCAGTTGCATAAATATCAAAACCCATTAACCTTGAAGGAAATGAAAAGCTTTATTGCTAACCTTGAACTATCTTACGTATAATGCTTGGCAAAAATTACATTATTACGTCATCACTAAGAAGAAAGTGATGAAAGCTGGTATTTATGGGAATTCACTAAGATAAGAAAGTGATTATATTAATTCCTAACTTTGGAGATATCAAAATAGAAAGCAATTTTTCTTAATATTCTGCATCTTGTCTGTATACAAATGTTTGCAATAGTGTAGAATATTTGAATAATAGGAGTGTTTTTTAACCATTTAAATGCTAATTTACAATAAATTTTATGGTTGAGCCAAATAAAATGCATACATTGTTACCATACTATGTTTTAAGTTTGCTTTTCTTTGTCTCTTCTGGAAGTTATTAGCTTTTTCTTTTACAGAACATTATATTATAGGCTTTTACAAATTTAATGCACGTAATTAAGTGGTGCTACTATAGCATGCGATCTACTGGGACTTTTACACTACTTAGTTAAATAGACAGGTTAAGTCAGGTCAGGTGGGGTCTTGGTAAACTACGGATACTTTGGTAGACTGCATGCTATAGTAGCACCAATTAAGTTATTCTGAATCATTATGAAAACATGTTTAATACATTGAACTGAATTTTGGGAAAACCTCATAGGTAAATCACTAAGGTACTTTGATTATCATTTTAAGAAATTTATTATTTAGTGGTGGGAGGAGGTGGGTATATGATAAGGACAATTTAAATACTCTCAGTTGACTTAAAAACATTAGAATATTTTTTTCGTGTGTCAAATATGACAATATAGTAATTAAATATTGAAGACCACTTAAGCTGTCTTTTCTGTTTTAAAATCAGTTATTTAAAATTTCATTCAAGAGCCCATTTGGAAGACGTATAACTCATTTATAAATATATATTTATAAATATTGCTAATAATTTCAGATTATACTGTTGTAAACAAAACTTAGAAAGAATTAAATATTTTCAGTGTTTGGTTTTAGACAAGTCACTAATGCCTATGACCTCAATTTTATCACCCTAATTAAAAGCCTACCAACTTTATAGAAATTGTGAATATTCTGAAATTTAAATGCATAGATTGTGCTTTGGAAACATGAGACCTAACTAAAGTTGTTATACCCTGATCTGAATATTAGTACTGTAAGTAGCCAGCATATTTGAAACTCTTATTTATGTACCATATTTCATTCCCATGATGCTTCACTGCTGGTTACTATTGCTGGATGGCCATGAACCTGTAAAAATGTGAAAAGTTTGGGAATATGAAAAAATTATCAAAAAAAGTCAGGGAAGATTTAAAAATTATTCTCAAACCTGGAAAATTCAGGGAAAATTTTAAAATTGTACCCAAACCTGGAAAAGTTAGGAAAAATTTGGGCTCCTACTTTTTTTTAATATCTTAGAACCTGCAAACTATGCTTCATGGTTATGCTGATTATTGATATATTTTAACATAATCTTGATCAATCACTCTTTATTTATTTTATTATAATCATCTAACTCAATATAATTTGATGATAGGTTAAGTCAAATATTGTTTAATAAATAAAAATGCAATATTATATTGTTT